ATGCTATTAGTCACTCTACAATAGCAAAGTGAATTATGGTCTCAGTGGAAGAGAGATGCCGATTAGCAAGTTAGTGCATAGTCAGTCTCTTTCTGCTTCTGTCATGTGTAAAAGAACATTTTCTAAACTTCTGAAAGGGTTAGTGGAGATTTACCATAGCCTTCACTCTCCCCTCAATTCTTGTCATTAATGAGAATTAACGAAGACATTATTAAAGAAACCTGTTGTTTCCTTTTTCTGTTTCCACTAGTTAGTTCTACTCAAATATACTGAATTTTCTGATAATTTTATAGGTTTCTATAGCACACTGTACAAGTGACTTGAGCTATCGATAGAATATTCATATTTTGCCAGCTGTTTTATAGTCAAAAGATCTTGAATCTGAACTTGTTTTTTCATGTTACATCCAGAGCTTTGGAAGAGTGTTTTGGCAAGCTTCCCAATGGGCACAGCTCCTATTCCCAGAGTTCTCTCCAAAGCATTAAGAATGGAAATAAGCAGCTAAGAATTTTCCAGTTTAGATCAGGCTCTGTGTATGTTAAGGGAAACAGAAGCATAACCACAAGTACCACCATAAGCCCTTCATGTAGACAGGCTCCAACAGAAAGCAGAGCTTAATCTGGTGAAACTGTCATAAACTGGTCCATGTCGGCTTCACACGTCTGTACCTCGTGTTTGTCCTGATACGGAGATATAGTGACCGAGACAGGTATACCACCACCAAGTTTCTTAATGCAAAGAAGGTCTGCCTAGTTAGGTTGCCTAAAATCAGAGGCAGGCTCAGTAATCTCTTAACGATGTTTTACTCTGAAGTAGTATTGCTTATAGGAAACTGTCAAGGCCACTATGACAAACACTTTAGTTTTCTCTAGCCTCTTCTCTTCAGGATGATTCCTTGGCTTGTATTGTGGAAACTGCTTTAGTGAGTGACTGAAATAAGATAAATGGTATATAGTGTCCATTTTATGGGTGCTTTTTTCCTGACAAATGCTGAAGAGGTGCTGCAGAACATCTATTATTTGGAGGAAAAAAAATTAGTAGGAGGCTGAGGATAATACTATGTTACAGAGAATGTGATCTGGAAAAAATCTTGAGGCAGAGCAAGGATGAAGAAAAAAAAATTGATTCCTGATGTCTCTTTGAGGATTACAGTCCAACTCTTATGGAAGTTAGTGGGAAACTTTCCATCTCCTGTAATATGAGTTAGGCTGGGTCTTCAGGATATCACCATAACAAAGCAGAGCTACAACTGGTAGTAGGCACAGGCAGATATAACAAAAAACGTTTTAAAAGATTTTATTGTAGACGAGATTGAATTGTGACAAAGCTGTCAAGTTTGCTGAGGATAACAATATATCAAATTTCATGATTCTTCATGTTGTTTTTTATCTTGAAGATGAATTGATGAAATCTCACAGCTACTGTGTTGTACTCCTATTTTGTGGGTAGCTTAAGTCAGAAAAGAAGTAATAGCATAGAAGTTAAAGAACTACTTAATATCAGAGCTACGAACAGGCAGGAATCCTGACTTGGAGCGCTGGGCTCCAGTTCCTAGAAGTACTGCATTTCATGCGGACTGGATCTTCTTTTACTAACAAGTTTTCCTTCCTGTGTTTTCCCAATTTTCCAGGGTTTCCTAGAACATGTGCACATTTCCAGATAATTTATACAAACTGAAAATTATGTTTTTATAGAATGAGATGTCCCTATCTCAAGCATCTCTCTGAAATGAGATTCTCAGCCCTGGAAATACTATTAGCACTTTGACTGCAATCTTTAAAACACTTAGCATTTGAGTCTAAATTTCATTTTTAAATGTACTAAGAAATCTGTTTCATTAAATATCTCAAGCCCTTGGATTATTTTAAAAAGATAATACTGATATTAAATATATTCCCTTATGAGCTTTTTTTCTTGGATGTAAAAATGATCATTCACCTTAAATAGTAACACAGTGCCCTGTGATGCTAAGCATTAGTGGAATGACTCTACAATAAAGTTAAGCTTCAAATTTTAACCTCTCTCTGAGCCACATCCTGTTTTCAGTTAACTGATCTCATATGGGGGAAATTTACTAGAGGAAATATCTCTAGTTTGGAAAGTACCAAAAACTTATCTTTCGTTTCTTTGTGTAATTCAGCACCTTTTAAGACAGAGGTGTAATACTTTCAAGAAGTCTCAAAGCAAAAGGAGCAAGCTAAGAGCACAGAAAGGAGGGATATAGGTGCCCCTTCATCCTGAACCAGAAATTGACCCATTGGTGTAACACTGATCTTTCTGAAATTATTAACTTACACCTCTCTATATTCCAAAACCTTTAAAAAGCCACATCCAGAAATATTTTAAAAACTCTTTCAGAAACTAACTCACATCCTGGCAGGAACTGCCTGTGCCAGATTAACTTGCCATGAATTTTAACAACCCTCATCATAAAACAAAGAAAGCAAATATTTCAGATCGTAAGGACTACCTAAGACTGTATCACACTTTCCCCATAGACTTTTAACTTTAGTTAATACATGGCCCTAATGACTCTGCACTTAGAGCATCTACAAAAACATTTACAGCAAAGAAAAGTCGAGAGAAGGAAGTGGAAATGAAGAGACATTACATGTGATTCTGCAAGTATTAGTAGGGAGAGTCTTCTCACTCACATAGGTGGGTGTTGACATTTAAACTGGAAGCCTTAAAAATAACTTTAATAAAACTGACATCCTTCTCCACAATTTCATCACCAAATCTTAACAACATCCTGGCTCTTAAAAAAGGTCACACATGCAGGTACCATGGCTGTATATGATCAGATAATTGCACACCCACAATGCTAAATTAGTCATTTTCTTGTGCTGTGGCAGCATTACTGAACTGCATATGATGCTTTTCATGTGGTGAGATCTAGGTGTTTTACAAAAGGAAGCAAATGTTACTGCCTTTTTACAGAGGAAGGTGGAAGTATTTACTAGGCTAGTGGTTTATCCAGCAACACTCCAGTGATGTATGGCAGTAACCCAGATAGATACCTTAAAACTGACTCTGCACTTGGCTCCATCAGGCTTATGTTTACTTCCCTCTATAATGACAATTTCCTTTGCATCATCATTTTTAAACTGTTCAAGCCTTCAGAAAAACATCATGCCACTTGTCAGAAGCCTGTCTAATTCAAGGGAAAGTAAATAAAGGATTTTTCTGACAAAGTGAAGGATCAAATCCTTATTTTGGAAACAGTCTTGCATCCTGATTCCTGTGGGACTACAGAGTGGAACTGAAGATAGCATTTGGCCCATAGGTGAATTTTTAATAAAATAATTAAAGAAATTGTGGACATAAATGTAGGGGAAACTTTTTTGGATAAACTGCTTGCAAGAATGGGACTTTTAATAATAAACATCCTAGCCACAAGAAGATGGTCATTATTTGTCTCCAAGTCCCACAAATGAACTAGCATACAGCTATGGAAAGATACTGCCTATGCAGCAGATGAGTGAAGTATGTTCTGTTAGAGACAGCAGAGCTTGAAGGGCTGGAGAAAACTGAGCAGCTGTCTGCCTTAAAGAGACCAGGTACACTCTTGCTGTGTTCTGAGTATATTTTTAATACTTCCTGTTATTTTCAATTTACCGCAAAGGTGGTTGAAATTTGCGATCTCAATTATTTTGTATAGACATTTTTCATCCTGTTTTTTGGTAATACTATGGGTTTCTTTAGCCTCTATTCTGCAAACAGTGCGAGGGTTGGTGCATATAATATCCTCACAGTACTGTATAATTACAAGATTAATTTTTCCTGTGTGTACATAGACTTCCAGCATATCAGCTCTATAAAGGATAAATATATATCTTACCCATAGACCTAGCTATCTTTTTAGAGGTTTTTGTCCTTAGGTGTATTTGGGTTTAAACTACACTGCTCTTTTGAAGTCTAGAAAAATGGTTTTTTAGTTCTTGCTTTGTTTGACATTGTCCTTTTGAGACAAAAAGGTAGAAGTTTAATGGAATTTTTTTCTGGAAAATCTTCAATAAATACAGTATGTGTGTAGCAGAGGAACGCATGAATAATGTTATATCATACAGGCAAACGTAAGGGCTGAGTCACAAACAGCTGTGTGAGCAGAGTTTAAAAATATTCTTTGCTTCTTCATGAAAACATCAGCATAGCTGTTTATAACAATGTGAGGAGAAAAAAGTTCTGGAATTAATTCCAATATTTCTCTTAGCAATGTGACAAAGCACTACAGCATATACTTCACTTACACGTCTTGATCCCAGAAGCTGCCCTCCCTCCCATCTATTATTCAATATAGCTATAGTCTGTTTGGTATTGTATTTGGTAATCTGTAATCATGTCAGGGGCCAGTCACCCAGGGCAGCTGTTCCACCTGTGGAACTATTATCTGCGCACACACAACATAGGAAGATGTCACACTTCAGGCAGATGCTTGCTGATGAATAATAAACTCATCAGCTTTCACGCAGTCACAGAGTACCTGGATGCGAACGCTGTTGTAAATGCAGCAGAGTAACAAGCCAAGTGAAGCAAGTAGAGAACCACCCCCGCTTTTTATTTTTAATTTTCGGCTAGGACTCACCCCCAGTGGTATTCCCCAAGTTTCTTTCACAAGGAAGAGCTAACAGATTTGCATCTGCAACTTTCTCTCTTCTGACTGAATCCTAGTAGATGGGGTTGTGGCATGTGATTTCATAGTGAACTTTGTCAGGGGAAAAGAGGACCTTCTTCTGATGTGAAACCTTCCTTTGTAGAAATCTTTTACTGCACTGTGAGCATCTTAAAAGGATTTGCATGGGTTACTTAACTTGCCTTGTGTTAGCCTGGTGTTGTCAATACTATCTGCGTTTGAGAGAGCTGGAAGGCGAGGCGCAGCAAGGCTTGCTGGAGGTTTCCAAGTAGGGTTGAGGAGGAAATTCAAGTCTCCCACTCCCTTACTCGGGGCAGCGGGTTTCCCCCGAGCAGGCAGAGGTGTGGAGAGGGCGTTTTTCACCGTAATGGTGCTCCGGGGAGGCAGGCGTTTCTGTCTCCCTTACAGGGCCGGGTCACCGTGTCAGACAGGCATCATCACACCGGTTTCTGGAACTAGCTGTGCAAACAGACTCTCCGTTTCGGCTGTCCCGGGGGAATTTGCTCCCTCGGGCCTTCCCTTAATCAATTCCCCGTCCCCGCGGGTCGTTGCCGGTCCGCCTTCCTGGGGGCTGGGGAGAGCCCCGCGGCGGCCCTTCGCCGGCCCCCGGGACACCGCTGGCTCCCAGCGGGAGCCGGGCTGCGTTCCCTCGGCCGGGGGAAGGCCCGCTTCTCCCCGGCCCCCCAAAGGCGCATTTCGGGTTTCCCGCTCCTCCCGGCCTGAGCGAGGCAGCAGTCGCCGAAATTCAGACGAGCCGCCCCGGCTCCATTTCCTCTCCCTGCGGCACGGGCGGCCTCGACCGCGGTAAGCACCGAGGCGGCCGCCCCGCTCCGCTCCCCAGCCCCGGGGCCGGGCACCGCCCCGCCTGCCGGCCCACTCAGCCGGTCACCCTCCCTTCCCCGAGGGGCTCCCTCCCCGCTCCGCGCTGCGGAGCCCGGCACGGCCTGGGCCGCCTCCCGCTGTGGGGGCGGCGGGCTCAGGTAAGGGGAGCGGGAGGGAAGGAGGGAGAGCGGGCTCCGCCTCAGCCGCCCGCCGCCG